ATTTGGATAATGCCAAATGGCTTGGACTGGTAAGATGAAATGATTAGGTAAGGGTTTGGGTTCAGATGAAAGATAGATATGAGCTTCACTATGATCATTTTTGATAGAGATTATTAATATATAGCTACATAAATTATCAGATGAATATCCAAAGCTATTGATATGTCGTAAAAAAGTAATGATAGTTTGAGGATGAGAGAGTAGTGGTATGTGGTTATAAAATAAAAATTTGTTGTAGCAGGTATTGAATTGAATGTTGTTGTAGTGTTGATTAGCTATAGTAGTTTCATCATAGTCATCTAAGATAGTTCCTAATAATTGAGAATAAGTGTTAACTAATTCATTGTCCTTTATAATTGAGTTAGTATCTAATGTATTATTGTTTATTAGAGAGAATTTAGAAGATATAGGTATGGATGGATAGTAGGTATAACCTGATAGATATGGAAAGAAGTAATTAAGTAAAGGTTTAGACACATGTGGTAGGTATATATAGCATTCACTATAGTCAAGTTTGATTGCTAATCTTAGTGCATAGTTGAAATAATTATATTAGGTAAAGTTGTATTGGTGAATATGTTTTAAAAATGAATAGAGTGTTTGTGGATATGGCAATAGGGGTAAATTTAAACATGCTAGCTATTGGTTATAGCATGAGTCTGGGTTATATAATGTTTTGTAGATTGGTTCTTGTGGTACTTCCTTGATGTTTGATAATGAAATGGAATTCAAGGAAATAGAAGATTCTTCAGTAAATTCACTTACCATATGCTTAGCTCTCACAGCTGTGAAGAGTACAATAGCCTGTTCTGTACATTGAGTCTGGCCATCATTAACTTGGTTCTCCGCATAAATGGACTTAACCACCCATCTACTTATATCATTCTCTTCTAGAAATGACCTATGTTTAATAGAGAACATCATAATTCCAGAAGCAGTGGTTGCATTTATGTGTTCTACAGAAGATTCAATTAAAAAGAATTATGAGAATGGGTAGTAGTGGTTTCTTGTTGAAGGGTTTCTGTATAAGATAATTTTTCTTTAGCTTTGTTATTATCTTTGCTAGGTTTTGGATTAAAGAAAAGATCATCTTTAAGCTTTTTAAAGGATTGAAATTTGATTTTAAATTTTTCTTGAAGGATTTTTTGGGCTTGTGGATAGATTGTAGTTTTGTATGCTTCAAGAATTTCTGGTATAGAAATCATTAGTTGTTTGAGAATATAGAAATAAGTAATCACTTGGGCAAGGAAATATGTATTAACTGGTTTTGTTGTAATTTTGTTAATGGCTTGATGTTCTTTAAGATTATTAATTTCATCATTCTTAGCAGCAGCTCTGAGAAAGATACAAAAGTAGGAATAAAAATAGAAACTATAATGTTTAGGGTTATCAACAGTATTATTGTTGTCAGAGAAGTAAGTTTCTGCTTCATCAGCAAGTTTGTGAAACAAAGGTAAAGGTGTAATGTTCTGAAAAGTAGCATGATGTTTTTGGTCTTTTGCAAAAATAGAAAAATCAAAATCCGGTTGAGTCTATTTGACTGAGTTATTGTTTGATGGAGTAGTAGAAAATTTTTTAAAAGATAAATCAAAGAAGCTAGTAGACAAGTTTTCAAAGTTGTGTTTAGTATCAAGAAGAAGAATGGTGCATGGATTATCTTTACTATTGTGTACAGGTATGGATATGAAATAGAGCAGCCTTAGTACAAAGTAATGATCATTCTCTAAGAGAGTCAATTAAAGTTATTTTGAAATCTGAAGACAGTAGTCTCTTGCACGATTCTGCAAGTTTAGTAACAATTTCATATTTAATATAATTAAAGGTTTTAGTTTTATTAATGTTGGTGAATTGTTTTTTGTAATTAGCAAAGAAGGGTTTAAACCATGATTCAAGATCAGGTCTGTATTTTTTGAGAGAAGGAATACGAAAGGTTTGTTGAAATTCTTGTTTGGGGATATTAAGTGAGATATTAATATTGTATTTTTCATCATTTTGTATTTTAAATAGAGATTGATTAATAGTATCTTTACTAATAAAGTAGTAAGGTGAAAAACATATTGGTAGAATGTTAACTGTTTTGGAGAATTTAGTGAGATCAATTGTTTGATATTCATTCTGTAAATAAAGATGAATTCTTGCCAAATTGATTGCTACTTGAAAGCAGTTTTGTAAAATATAGGAAGGAATTGATTTGTGTAGAGAAAGTATTTTAGCATAGTTAAGTTTAGTAAAAAGAGTTGTGGTAAATTTGTGGAAACCTGTTATGTTATAATAATAATAATATAAAGTATTGTATATATATACAAATAAGTATTGACAATTAGAAAGTTTATATAGAAGATCTAGAGTAAATCTCAGGTATAGCATCTAATAGGTAACCTATAGGCAGAACTCTTAATTAGATAATAACTAAAGTTATATATATTGTTAATTGTACTTTCATTGATAAACTTTATATATAAAATATAATTATATATTACTAATAATAAAAAAAACATATAGAAAAGATTGCTCCTGAAACTAAAAACCTAAAAAAAAAAAAAGGTAAATTGGACTTATAAATATGTTAAACAAAATAAGACCAAAAAAAAAATCAAGTGAAGCAAATCAAGAGAAATTTAAAAAAATTTAATAAAGATCTAAGATTACTTATCTTATATATTTTATAATTTATTCAAATTAATTTTATATTTTAGTTATATTTTATTTTTTATTTTTTTTTTTTTGCTCTTAAGTAGCCATGTTAGTACTTTATTAAGATTCTTGCAACTATATACAATAACTACATAGAATTTTTCTAATAACTAAGTCTAGCATTACCTGGTCACCTTATTGGTACCTAAGTGCAACCTGCTGCACTACTCCAGTTAGAGGTAGACTGCTTATCTGGCTACTTAAGCCATACCAGAAAGGATTTCTCTCTTCCAGAACAAGTATTAACTGTCTTCAATCCTTTCTTTAAATTTTTCCTTCTTCTCAAAGAGCCGAAAAAAAAAGGGTATTATAAAATTGAATACAAATAAGAATATAACTAAAAAAACCAAAAGTAAATAAACAAAACCCAAATCAAAACAAAATAGCAAAACAAATATGTAATAGTAAGAAAAAGAAAAAGCAAAAAGAGGACTGAAGCCCTAGCCAAAGCAAGATGTAAAAATTATATAGTACTGTTATTTCTAATCTCTATTCTAAAAATAGGTCTATACTATATATAAATATAATTCAATGATAGAGATGTTGGTGTTTAATTTCTTGTTATATTTTATTAAATATGAGTACAATTTTCAAAAAAATTATAATTATATAAAAATATTATATTATACTAATTGATAATAATATACTATTATATTTTTTGTTATATATAATTACATATTAAGTTATCAAATTTGAGTAATAAAGTTGCTTATATAACAAGTTCTAGTTAAATCATATAAATGTAATTTTTAAAACTATGTTTTAAAAACATTTAATATTTTTATTTGTAATCTTTCTGATCATATTCACATACTAATTTATGCTAATACAATTATATAAAATATAAGAAGAATGATTCTATTTAATTTTTTAATTGTCTATACTTTTTACTATTTTAAAAAGTATTATAATTAATATGTTTTGCTTATTTAACCATTATTATGATAATCATATTTATTAATTAAGATAACAATTATGTACTAAGATCATAATGAGTTAATTAGATTGTTATAATTATTATTATTATTATTTGTATTTTTTAATAATAAATAATAGCAAATATATAATATAATAGTTTAAGATATAATTTTTTAAAAAACTCATAAAAAGATTTCATAAATAAAAATGTTCTAATGCAAGTAATTAGTAATTATATACCTAATTAATATGTAATAATTATTTAGTAATCATATACAACAAAATAGCTTTGATAAAAATTACTTTAAAAAAACTTATTCTAGAACTTCATTATTAGGTACTATGAATTAAACAGAAGGAAACCTACCTAATTCAAACTTAATCTCGCATGTGACATATAATACAAAAAATATTTCATAATAATAGATTACCAATATTACAAATATAATCTCTTTTAATTTAAATCAGATATGTTTCTCCTGTTCATAATTTATAGGATCACGGATAATAGAACCATAACAATACACTAAACATATAAAATAAAAAGTAGATAGGACTAATGAAGTAGAGTACTTCAGTGATGGTTGTTGATAATAGTAAAATATAAGGTGAGAATCATTTCTAACAGTCTAGCATGTAATATTTATATCTTGAATAGTTGTATATAAATAAAATTTTGCAGTAAAGTATAATCTGCTAATTAAGTGACAGATTATACTTTTCTGAAAAATTTTGTTTATAAACAGCTACTTAAGATATAGCTAATATATCTTTTGCGTCTATGTAACATAATTTTTATATACTTATTTTAGAATGAAACAATCACTTCATTTCTTGTATTTGAAATTTTAAAGTTAAATAGAATAAATAATACAGTAATTAAATAGATAAGTGTCTAGTAGAATAAGTACATGAAAAAAATTACATTGATAGGTTGACAAGGGGATAAAATAGTCATATTACCTATCAGTTCAAGATAATTGTGCTCAACAAATAAATAGACTATTTGGTAAGTGTTATAATAGCGTATCTAAATTACTCAAACGATATATATTAATGTGGTTTTAACATCAAAATTTCTCTAAAAGACGATATTCGGGCATAGAGCATTTACTACACCATAATTACGTTATATTTCTAAGTTTTATTTGTTTATTGAGTATTAAAATCCTTTATCAATAACTTTTGAATAGTCCGAATTTACACATTATATATGATCTTGCTGGTCCTGTGCGGCGTTAAGCGCTGCACACAAAAAATTTAAACTTCTAAATTTATTACAATGGGACTTATGACCGGGATGTTTATGTAGGCATCTAATAAAGCACGAAAATTAAATAAGTAAAATTCAATTTTTTGTTTTCTGACGAATAAATAAAGGGAATACTTACAACCAACAAAATTGATACAAGCATTTACAAGTCATATGATCGCATCCACCATCTTTTGTAATAGGTGCGGTACATCCAGGACATTTCTTCGCATTTTGTGAAATATAGTTTTCAGTAGCAAGGTCCGATTGTCTCATGCCCTCGTCGTACTCTCTGCAAGTTTTACCCGTGTGCCAAGCAACTTTATGGATGTAACATGACTCTGATCCACAATTTTCACATTTGACAATTGGCGCTTTGCCTATAAAATATTAAGAGAGAATAAACTTCAAAATGAAAAAATACAAAGTTTTTTATATTGTAAGCTAGAAGCTTGCATGGGCATGGTCGAAATCAAAAAAATTTCAAAAACCTCGCAAAATTGCGAGCCTTGTATGTCAAAAGTATAGTAAAATGCGGGACAAACTTTTAAAAAACTTAATAAATTTTATTTTTTCGGGCCATGCTGATACAAATTTTAGACCCGTGCAAGGCCCTATTAGTCCTATTGTAGGCAGTACCTTCTCCTATATGGATTTGTCCAGCACCGCAAGGATCTTTGCACCATCTAAATTCTGGGATATTTTGGATTGCGGTTTTGAAAGCTAGTGTGTCATATCTAGAACAAAAATAAACGAATGTATTAGTCTAACATACCTCTTGATGTAAAGAGAAGTTGCTCTGTATCATACCTTTTAAAGAGTTCTTCTGTTACGATATTTTTAACATCGTACCTTTCCATTATTTTTTCACATTCCCTTGTAGGACAAGGAATTTTCAACTCTTGTTTTTCATCAAGTTGTATTTGAACGTGTTTAATAACACATTCCGTACAAACAACGGCTTGATGAGTACACTTTGAAGTTATTTTACGAAAATCTCTATTTGCCGTTTGATAGCAGATAGTGCATTCGCTTAAATCCGTCATATTTTATTAAAATATTTTTCAATAAGAGACCTTTTGAGAAATATAATATTTATTTATACTCGTTATTAATATGATTATATTTATTATACTCGTTATCAATATGATCTATTTAATTATACTCGTTATCAAGATGATTATATTTATTATACTCGTTATCAAAGATGAGCAAAGGTGCTTTTTTTGATAACTAATCGTCATCTATCTTTTTAATTTGAAACTAATTGAGAAGTGATCGCAAGTGACCAAATAAAAATCTTAATAAATAAATAATTACATTATATACATTATTAAACCTTATCGTTACTGATTTATAAAATCAAAAAAGTTTGCTCACTTAGTTATCTGGTTTAAAAGTATTTGAATGAATACTGTAATACAAGTGTCAAATTATACTTCGGAGTTCCTTTTTGTGTATAAATACCATTTAATTCAAAACTAGCAGAAAAACATCCAAATAATTGTCTTTAACTCTTCAAAAAGAAATGGCACGATTCACGGTTTCACTTGTTAATGGTAGTACTTTTCAAACGTCTCTCGAAATTTGTCTTGATGATACTATTTATCAGGTGAAACAAAAAATAGAAAACAATCACCAAGTCAAGATTGAGAATCAGGAATTATTTCTTGGTGGTAAAAAGCTCGAAGAGAATCAAACAGTGAGGAATTATAATATTGGCTTGGGTGAAACAATCAATCTCGTTCAAAAGCATGAAGGTATCATGCAAGTATTCATTAAAGATCTTAATGGTAGCGGTAGTTCAACAGGTATTTTCATCAATTATTCTAGTACCGTACTTGAATTGAAACAAAGCTACGGATCGATTTCGAAGATTCCAGTATATGAGCAGAGACTTATATACGGTGGAAAACAGTTAGAAGACCATAAAAAACTGTCGGAATACAAAATTGAACATGGATCAACTATTAGACTTGTTTTGAGATTGGTGGGGGGCCGTTGATTTAGGGAAAGGGGATATATAAAAATATATACATATTCTTTTTGACATGATAGATAACTATAATTCTGAATTATATATTTCATTTATTTATGAGAATACTAGATATTATCTGTTTTCATGAGAATTTACATGTCTTCCTTATTGATATGTTATGAATAAATGGAAGTTCAAAACTTGGAGAATTTATCGATGATTATAATATTTCTATAATCATTTTACACATGTTCATTCATATAATCTTATAGAAGATTGTTATGGGAATTTATAAAACGTTGAAAAACTTTTATATAAACTTATTGTCCGAAGCGCAGCGAGAACCCTTTTGTCGATTAACATAAGATAAATGCGCGAACGGAAATCCAACTAAAAAAGAATTGTATTTCTTAGATACAAGAGAATTGTATTTCTTAGATGCAAGAGAATTGATATCCCTTTTAAATTTAGATAGTATATAAATGCTTTATGCGTAATACTGTATATGTAGTCTCCAGAAAATTAGGGTTAAGTATAGTTGGTCCCTCCGTCGAATTTTCCAGAAACCCTAAATTATTAGGAAGTCCCAATCTCTGATAATTTAACAGTATTATTTTAAAATTAGGTGTTTCTGGAAATTTGCCGGAGGGATCGTTTATGCCAAACCTGATTCCTATAAGCATATTTCCGTACTGGTTTTACACAATAACGGCTATAATTCTATAACATATAGAGTTAAATTTTAAAATGATCTTTTGCTGATGTTGCGGGATAAATTGTCAGTTCTTAAATAAATAATAAAATCGTGTGATAAGGCATTCACCAAAGGCGTGAAGTTGTTGATTTTGCATAATTCGTAATAAGAATTTTCGGGAAATAGGGGTTTTAATATATGGAAATTCTATTTTGACCCGGGTCAAAATAACCTCACCTAAAATTTAGGATCATTGTAGGCTAAAATTATGTTGATACCGATCGAGATTTTTTAATATAATAACCTAGCCGACATTCTACCTGCACAAACACTAAATTTTAAGAGGGTCATTTTGACCCAGGTCAAAATAGAATTTTCCTAAATAATATCGCTTTAATGAAAATTATAAAAACGTATACGAAAAAACTTTATTTTTAAAAAAAGTAAATATTTGCCCGATAATAAAAAAAGATTTACCGGTTTTCCCTTTGTGCAAATGTGACTAGTGAACTGTCTTATTGCGTTTGATTTTCGAATAATCTAATAACTTTGATTTTCATGCTTAAACAACTATAATGATCTACTCCGACCCGGTGATTTTGTTTATGCAAATACTGCCAAAAATTTATTAAAAACATAACGGTAATTTTTGTATCATCTTACATAAAAATTAAGAGTTTACAGCTAAACTCTGGACAATTAAAATAAAAATTTTATTTCAAAATTTTTTCTTTCACGCGATACAAATGTTTATTTACTACTATTCGTAATAAGATGAAATTTGGTCAAATGAAATTGGAAAATCATAAAAGGCATTTAAGAATATACTATATTAATATTGTTGGCAATTTGTAATATGCTAGTCTAACTCCGTTATACTATTACTTTCCATCATTCTTACATTATTGTTCGTATTGACAAAAAAAATGTTAATTCTGTTTTGATCATGTTCATTTGATTTTGACTAAATGCGATTAGTCCGTTCTGACACATTTATTAGAATTTTAATTAAAATTACAATCAAAATCACAAACACAATCACCAAAAGTATCGGTATTAGAATCTTATAGAGCCAATCTAAATTAAATTCTCCAGAGTTAGGTGAGCTAGAATATGTGCTTGTAACCCAACATCCTGATTGACAACTTTTTGATGGAGAACAATGTTCTTCAGAATAACCACAGTAACCATATTGGGAACAACAAGTTGCCCCTGGGTAGTTTGCGCAAGTAATTCCACCAAATGCAGTACCGCATCTAGGAATTGTGGTAGTTTGAGGTAAAGCAATACATGAAATGATTTTAAATAATGCAGAAATTACGTAATTATTGAATTTTTGGTTCATGTTTTTTAAACAGTTACTAATGTACCGTACATGTAAGCATGTAGGTTTTTATCATAATTAATTGTCATGATTTTATTTTGCTTTTGCATATTCTAAAATTCCATTTACTTAGATGCAAAAGGTTTATCAGGTAATAAGATTAATATAGTGAGTTATAAATTTTAGTTAAAAGCTCAAAAGTTCACATGTTTTGTCTATTTTCGAAAATTTTTAACTTTATTAAAAATGATAAGCTTTAGAGTATACGGATTGGGTGTTGTAAAAAGGGGTAAATTGACAATTTTTTTAAAATTAATTTTTTTAGATAAATTAATTCAGAATAAGGTTGGGATCATTTTTAATTTAAGGTACAATAGAAGTTGTATTGATAAAATTTTACAGTATAACTCCTTAAAATTTGTAATTTCTTATGATTTATTATAAAATTTATAGATATAGAAATAGAATTGGTTATTATTACTACAGTGATTTTACTTTGAAAAAAACAAGAATTAATAATTTATAACCTTTTTTCTTGAGCAATTATAGCTACGCACGGATTAGAAATATTGGTTATAAATAGATAGCATATATTCATGCGCACATTTACCTCTAAAAGTTTGTATGGTTACACGAAAGAGAATTTGACACAAATCAATACACGAGCCTAAATAAAAGTCATGTAATTGAGCTTAAATTTAAATTTAGCTTTAAATGTATGATAACAATGATGACGATTATTATTCTAATTATCAAAATAAATAAATTCTGCTTTTGTTCTATGCTATTTTTGGTTATACAATGCCACGAGAAATCTTGAATATCACACAAAAGTTGCTGATCACCACTCAAAAAAATAATTTCTCCAAAGTTACCATAATAAGTACTTATAAAGAAACGAATCAGAATGGCAATTTATAAAAGACAAGAAGAACGGATGGTGACATCTGATTCTTATTTGAGAGTTAATGAAATATCTTCGTTATTAATGACAATGGTTGTCCAATCACATCGGAAAATTTTAAAACATGATTATTTATACAAATTTAATAGGCCATAATTAGACTTTGTCTTCTTTATTCTTAATTACCGAATCATTCCGAAATTATGCTCTTTTTTTGTTAGCAGAGATATTTAATTTTAGATACTTTTTTATGTAATTTATACAGACAGATACAAAAATACAAAAACCATATAAAAAATGCCATTCATTATGTCACCTCTATGAATGAGAGTGCCCAAACTTATCTATTTCGGTGATTTTCATTGGTTTAACATAATAAATCTTGAAATTACATAAAACAAATAGCTATATAGTGTGAGGTTTTTTACTTTTGATGCTACACAAAAAGTAATGGAGGAACGTGCGGTAACTTCACAAAATTAAAATGCTTAATGAATAATTATTTTTTATTTTACATTACATAGAATCTGAAGTCGTCTATCGGCAGTTTCCTTCGTCAGACATTTCAGATAAACCTGGGCAATTAATGCACATCATCGGGTAATGTCGGAAAATATGTCTAAACTCGGTAGATGATGATGAAAAAGAATAATAATCTTGTGCCTCATCAATCGCCATAAGTTTCATTATCCGTTATAATTTTCGTTTCGTCAACTAGTCATTGAGCTGTTTCATAGAGTTGCATTTAAATTAGCCATCCAAATATTGGAATTTTTTATTTCTTATTTATACCTAGATAAATTATGCACTATTGTTATCGTTATGCATAATAATCATTTTTCATTCAATGATTCCTAAAACAGGATTTCATTTTTTATCTATTCTATATTTATTACATCCAAATATAATATTGCATAAATATTTATCCTGACAAAGTTGGTTCGTTATTTATTAATGATGAATGTTTTGTCATTCATCAGGCATCATTAATTGGTTGATGCTGGCAACGAATAATTCTAACTCATTACTGTATTTCACGGTCTAAAGTACCCTCACCTGTAAAATGATTACTTTTTAATAATTGAATACCTTAATATTTTAATAAGACAAGCTTTGTACTTATATATTTAGGCTAAATTTACTAAATCAATAAATAAAAAAAATCTACATATCAAATACCTAACTAAATGCCAGCATATATTCTTATACAATCAATCACTTCATTAATTCACAGATGATTAATTTTACAGTAGTTAAGTTACTTATTATGTAACGTCAAATCACTCTATGCGACAATTTAGTATGTTATTAGTTATAAGTATATATCATTAGTAAATTGTCGCATAATGTGATTTGGCTTTTACATAATAGGTAAATTACCTTGCCTATCTTTAATTTACGGACAAGTTCATTTCATAGAAACTATATTTCACCGACAGCTCATTTTACCAACACGTCATTAAGGTTAGTGCAATTCATAAAAAAAAAGCATTGTGAAATTAGCTGTCAGTGAATCGTACTGTCTGTTAAATGAACTTTCGGTGAATTAATCACCAATAAATTAAGTTGTCCGTGAAGCGAATAATATGGATCCATTTTGATTTAACAATAAGCTATCTCAAATTTATGAAAACTAATATAATGATTATACCAGACTATGTGATTTTTATGACAATTTAAAATTAACCAAGTAGGAATCTAAGAAGTCGATGATCAATGAAAGGGTTAACATTTTTTTATTATTTTTTTACAAGCTTTGCTAATTTTACTATTATCATTACCTTTCGTCAATTTCGCCAATTTGATTTTTTTTTTGGCGAAAGTCAAAACCAATTTCAATTCTTAACCAACGCTGGTATTATCTGATTTCATTATCGAATGTTCCTTTGTAATTTATATCACCACCAGGCGTTGGAATGCCTTTAACATTTGTTTTGCGATACTTCTTATAAAACAAGACAAGCAAATTGTTCCAATAAAACTTATTACGACAAATAAAATTATCTGATTTGTTTAACTATTTTTACTGCCTATGGAATCATCATTTTTATTCTTTGATTCTCCATCATTATTTTTTGGAGTTCCTTGGCTTGTATCAAATGATG